TTATCCGCGATTTTGGAAAGGGCATGGCCCTCGGCAATCCCCCGCCCCGGCCCGCCCTGGCGCCGCCCCGTGTATCCTACGACAATAATAAATGCCGGCTGAACTGGCCAGGTGAACATCATTGACCATACGAACGGACGTTCTTTATAATCGTCCGACAAGCTCACCACCGAGCAGTCTCACGCCCTCGGACGCACTCAAGCACCAGGCCGGCGGTTCGCAAGAGTCTGCGGGATTTTCTCGAGCCCGTAGGAATCCCATGGCCCATGCCCGCGCAACATCTGAGGTACGCGTACGGCCGGCCGCTTTCCCCGCTCCTGTGCTTGGCCGGCTTGCTGTCCGGAGAGGCCCAGTGCCAGTGGGCCTCCTGGTTCAGGACTCACCACGAGGATTGGCATAGGGCGGTGGTACGAACGGGTTCCGCTCCGTTCCTTAGTCCTTGCACTTCGGGCGAGTCATTTTCATGCATTCTTTTGATATTTCTTCAGTTCGTACACCTTTCATCGACACAGCAATGCTCCTCACCTGTTCTAGCACATCTCGAAGTCTGAAACGTGCTGCACTCAGACGCTTACGAAACAGCTATCACACCGTGTCCAACGGAGCGTCCGACGCCTACAGGGATCAGCCTCAGCCTGGGCGATGGGGGAGCGCCGTGCTGTTCGGGCAGGACCTCCACGTGATAGCCGTGAAGGGTGATGACTGCGTGGTAATCGACTTCCCCAAGGGCGAGGCAAACCGCTCCCACGCATTTCAGGTGAATGACGCATATACACATGTCCGGTAGTCGGCGCCGCTGGCCCAGGGCTGCTTGGAGAGCTGCTCGCGGGGCATGTCTCCCAGAGGGGAGCTGGGCTACTGGCAATAGGCAAGTGACGTCCTCTAGTCCGCCACTGGGACCGGGAGTTCGTTGAGAACCGGCCAGCAAGCTTAATCGCCTGGCGTCCGGGGAGCCGCTGGCCCGCGTTCCCAGTGTCGATGAATGCTGGACCTGCGACATCGGGGCGGCCGACTGCCCTGAGAGAATGAAAAACGATGGGACCCGACGTTTCGTGTTGCCCGATCCTCCGGGTCACGAAGACTTCTTCGCCATGCTGGAGCGCGCCGAATGGGCGGAGGTCCGATCCGGCGACAGGACACGCGGTCGGCGGCGTCATTGTGCGGAGGCGTCGTATCAGGATCTGGAGAGGAGGCCGGTCGGCCCGGGAGTGTCTGAAAGCTCCTGCCGGACGGGCGATGCGGAGACGGTTCCTGATCACGGGAGCCACTGGCGGCTAAGTGCGGCGCGACTTGCTCCTGCAGTTCATCGTTCAGTTAGTAAATATCTCAAGCTGCTCACTCTACCGCAGTTATAGATGATGCTTCTGTCGTCTTCATCGGGGAATTCACCGCTCTAACACTCCTGGCCGCCTAGGCATACGGAAATCAGCGCGGTTGGCTGCCGCATCAGCAGCACTTCGGTGACGGACCACAACCTCCGGTTCTTGGGGCATGGGAATTACCTGACCGCGAAAGGGGAATGCTTAAGTCCAGAACCGCCGCGTAATCTATCTGTGCTGACGCGGCGCGTGGGTTGGCAACTGCTTAGGCAGTTGATAGGTGACAGTGTGTATTAGTTGTGATAGTGAGGTAGGACGAATTTGGCGCTCCGTCTGAACCTAATTGGGCCGTTTGTGCGGCGTCGTAGTGCATTGCGAAGCTGTCTTTCTGGTAACCCAAAATCATGTATCCCTAGGTCAGAACGCGTCAAGGGAGACAACCGGCTCATTGTGGCTGAGATGGAGCGTTCTAGGGTCAAGCCGCGATGGTGCGCTTATTCGGAGCAGGCGCATCCCCACGGTTTAGGCGCAGGAGTGAGAATGTGCGGGCGGTCTTCGGGCCTGTCAGCTTACGCTGCTGCTATGGGCCGTCCGGGTGCAGCGCAATGCTGTCGCAGAGGATGGCGGCGGGACGGTCGTTAGTCGTGCGCTCAAGATATGTGAGTAATCTGGGCGTTATAGCGAGCATACGCGGCGCGGATGCTTCTATACGCGGGTGCGCGGTGTCGTCTGGAAGGAAGGTGCTGATCGTCAGGAGCAGCAGACTTGTCGGCTGGGCGACCTGCAACTTTAAGAACGGCGTATTGCACGTGGGTCCGGGCATGCAGATCGCGATGCCGGCCGAACATGGTCGCTGGGCAGGTTCATCACAAAGAAACGCGGCTTGCGCCAATCTGCGGGTCGATCCGGCTGTCTGCACTGGAAGCCGACATTGCGGCGGGCCGGGTGCGGCTGTGCTTCGGGTCGAAGCGGTTGTGGCGGAAGCGGCGCAATCTCGAGACCACGGCTACGCCAGCCACGAGGAATGGCTCAGGGACTGGCGGGACGCTCGCAGCGACGAGTTCTTCGTCTTGGGGAGCGGGATGAGGCGGCGGGTTGCCAGCTCTGCGTGGCGACCGTTGCTGACGACGGGACGCTGACCCTGCGTTCCGAATGCCGAACTGCCTGGCGGGCAACACGCACAAGTACGTGGTAATCGAGGTGTGTGGTTTGCCTACGGCCATGAACAGGTGCTGGCCGCCCTCCAGAGCAATGCCGAGTACTCCGCCTACCGGCGGCAGCACGGTGAGAAGGCGGCTCGGGCGACCGGACTGGGTCAGGCCGTAAGCTACCGGTTCAAGCGGGACGAAAAGGGCTGGCGGGTATTCGTTACCACCAACATGATGGGAGTGCCGGTGGTTACGACCAGCGTCTTGGCGCCATCGTGGACGTAATGCCGACCATCTGGCCATTGCTGAGACCGACGCCAGCGGCAACTGTGTGAACTCTTGGCGGACGCCATTGGTCACCTACGGCAAGTCCCAGCGTAAGGCTGAGGCCCTGATCGGCGACGCCGTGGCCAGCGTGGTGCGGTATGCCCGCGAGGTCGGCAAGCCCATGGTCATCGAGAAGCTGGACTTCCGCCGGAAGAAGGCCGGCCTGGAAGGCCAGTCCCGGAATATAGCCGGATGCTGTCGTCTTTCAGCTACGGCAAGGTCAAGGCGTACTTCATCTCCCGCGGCTACCGTCAGGGAGTTGAGGTACACCAGGTCAACCCGGCCTACAGTTCGGTGATCGGCCGGGTGAAGTTCATGGAGCGTTACGGGCTCAGTGTTCATCAGGCAGCGGCCTTGGTGCTGGCCCGTCGTTTACTCGGTTGCTCAGAGCGCATTCCACGCCTTCGGGTTGCACCCGTTGGTAACGGCGTCCATGTCGCCTTCCGCGTACCTGCAAGGAAGCGGGTGAAGCACGTGTGGACGTACTGGGGGCGCGATCTCGGGACGCTGAGACCGGCGCTTGCAGCGCATCATCGGCTGGGAAAGCGGAGACGACGACCCAATCCGGTTCAGGCTGTCGCGCGTGGTGAAACACGCGGGGTGGCTTGAGCGGGGACCAGATCGGTGTTCCCGGGTGAGATCCCCGGGCGGAGCCGTCTTGTACTGTTGGGACGGCGGCGCGGCTCAGACCGCGAACTCAGAGAAGGCTGACGGAAGTCCTGTGACTAAAGTCAACCATTTTTACAACGGTCGGTTGCCATTGCCAGACCCGCCGGACGCTCCGGCGAGCGAGGCGGCATGAAAGTCGCCTGCATACTGATTGACGCCAAACCAGCAATTATGGTTGACGCGGGACACCAACGCTATCAGGGCGTGTTGAGGCTCCCCGGTCCGCGCCACCAAGACCAGGGTGGCCGCCACGAGGGTGACGCACCACACCTTGCAGGAGCGGCTGTTTTCCGCCATGCGCTGTATCACGCCCTGCATGATGGTCAGGTGGGCCTGAACAGACGACGGGTCTTCGTTCAAAGACCGGTTTTCTGTCATAGTGGTGTCTTCCCTCGTTACTTACGGTGTATCAGGGTGCGTCTCCCCGAATTGGCTGGAAGCAGATTCTCACGTCCGCAGCAGTCTGAGCCGATTGAGTCATCTACCCGTGCGCCGTCGCGCTCGACTGCCAAGGGCCGCCGGCAGGCCAATGCCCTGCGAAAGGCTTGGCGGACAGGATGGCGTCGCGAACCGGGCCAATGAAGGACCGCATTCTAACGCCAATGTCTTCAAACGCGATCGGTGGAGGCTTCAATAGTCCGCCCTGGCGTCCATAGTCTGTCCAACGGGACCGCAGGTTGATATCCGAATAGAACTCTGACGTAAGAGCATCAGGGAGTCTCGGCGGTCCAAGAAGTGCCCCGTCGCTCAAAACAGCGCTCAACCGCCTGCTGTAACTCGAGACCGTCGAAGGCAAAGGTCTCGGACAGGGCCCAAATATCGTAGAAATCCTTCATCCTGCTGTTTCGAATCTCCAATGAACCATGGATTCAAACTTTTCAGCGATCGCCGAAACCTTCTGGATACGTGCGCAGAAAAGGCTCTGGGAGGCCGGCAATGAGTGTGGGCAGCCGCGCGTCCTCGGGCCCCGGGGGTAACTGCGTCGCCAAATCCGAAGTCCACCTGGACGGTGATGCGGGCTGTGCCCAGGAGGGCGCGTATCCTCGCCCGTTGACCTCCGTACCTCTGATCGTCCCGAATCGCCGACACATCCAGGGTGTCAATGTCGAATAGCAACCCGTCCTCAGGACACGGCACGTTGCAGATAGTGGACATCATGGCCCTGATGGCCTCCACGTCGTTCGCTCCGAAGGCCAGTATGTCAATGTCCCGCGTGGCCCTGTAAGGCTCCTCCATCCATACGGCCAAGAGACCCGCACCCTTCAGGATGCAATGGCCACGCGCCGCGGACGCCCCCAGCCGGTAGAGAAACCGCTCGCAGGCGTAGCGAACAAGGTAAAGTTGGAACTCCGTCCCCTCGCTCCTCGCCCTGTTGAGCAGTCGTGCCCTGATAGAGTGCTCAGTGTTGGTGCTCATAGCACCCCGGAGTCCAGGATAGCCCTGAGGCGGCGGGAGGGCAGAACTTCAAGCATGCGCATCAGGGCGGAAGCGGTTACCTTTCTGTCCCGGAGAGCCTCCTGCAGCGCCTCCAGCGCGGCTTCCCGCCCAATGAGGCGCTGGAACCGGAAGCAATCAACTATGGTGCGCACCGGGGAGGTAATGCGGGCAGGCACCTCCTCAAATTTCGTTTCCTGCAGTCCGCAGCTCAAGGCCGCGCCGCTGAACCGGACCAGGCGAATTCCAATATTTCCGCTGGAAGGGGGTCTCGCCTTGTGCGGAATGGCAATCCAGACCTGTCGAGGTAGTTGCGTGCCGATCTCGTACACCTGGAGAGCCGAGAGGAGACAGACTATCGCGTTGGGCGCCCGGGCGCAGACGGAAGCTATCGAGTAGCGCTCAGTGGGCTCGACGTCAGCAAGGCGGTAGAGACCCCAGCCGACACGCTCGACTGCCTCTTCAGCCTCAAGCTGCCGAAGCCTGTGATAGGTGATGCCCAGCGGCTCAAGCTGGCCTGGACGAAAGAAATTGCCGATGCCAGCTTTGTGAAGGGTCTCCTGATTGAGATCGGCCATCATTCCTAGTAAATTATGTCGGCAGTTAAGTTAACAGTGCCGACATTTTACAAAAAGGCATGAAATAGGTCAATTCGGGTAGCGGGTCCCATATCGCTGTTGGCATTATCTGGTCGGCGGATCGGGCTGGAACCACCGAAAATAGGCATAGGCTGTGGCTTCAGTCGGCACCCGAATTATTTCCGATTTGGATATCCTCATCCTCCAGAGGGCGCGGCGGGAGGTCGCAGCAGATGTTTATCTCGCGCTGGCAATTCTAGCGTTTCCGCCCCCGCCGTCCTGTTCAGAGGTGTCTACGCATGTGTCGGCTAAATGGGATTAACTCCCCGTTTTTGGAAAACGTCCACATCATCTGCCTGTAGCTAAGGCCCTCAGTTACGGGTCTTGTTCCAGTTTGCCGTCGCGGCTCCAGCGGGGCCAGCGGGGCCAGGGTTTGAGCTGGAAGCAGGCATAGGTTCCGGTATCCGAGCGCAGGTCTGTCGACCCATTATCTGCGGGAACTCGTCAGGGCCGTTGGTGAGGATGAAGTTAAATTTCAACTGGGAATCGTTGATGATGTTGACGTGGGCGACACCTGTTATGGTATGGCATGAACAAGCGCCCAGGATCTCGGTCATTTCCTGACTGGCGGTCCGGAGGCTACCGGCACGACACTGACCGCTACTCCGTCTGGATGGAAGTTGACTCCGGCCGCTTCCCACACCGACGACCCTGCCTGGTGCAAAAGGCCGCCCGCGCAACACTTCCCAGATCACCCCGATTAATCCGGAACGCAGCCTTGCCCGACGAGACACCTCAACTGGCAACGAGCAGAGTAATACCGCCCCGCCAGCAGCACTTACCGTCATGAGAGAGGCCTGACCTCTCGGCCGTAACGGGCCCCAGCAAGCGAAGCAGGAACAAGAGGATAATGGCGCCGGCGACACCTGCGCCCTTTCGCACCAGACGGGCAGTCCCGCGCCGAAACCGGTCTGAACGCAATCAGACAGAGCGAGCAATCGCCGGGCTTGGAATTGCGCGCAATACGAGTAATGCCAGCCATGACATCAGCTGCCAACCTGTGCAAAATTACCCGCTGAACCCGCCGGATCTTCCCAATCCTGGATACTTGGCCAAATCTGTGATGCCTTTCTTTTTTGATCGAGGTATTCAAAAGCTAGCCGAAGGCCGAAGAGGAAAGGCAGGCACTACTGTGCAAGCACGCCACCACCCGCGTACCCCCACAGTTGACCGCGCAGGTACCGGGAAATAATCCAACGAAGCAGATAGGCTGGAGCAACCGACATGAACACCAGAATGGAAAAGGTAGCGCAAGACGTCGCCCTCACAGCCCTCCGGATAGTCACCCATGTGGCACAGCCCACTCCTCAACTGGAGAAATTCAAAGAGGATTTCCAAGCAAGATGGCCCGTTCCGGACAGCAACCGGCCCATGAACGACGCCATAAACGCCGTCGCCCAGGCAGTCAGTAGTTGCACCGGCCAGGATGCGGACACTTTGAAAACTACCGTGTCCCAGACCTGGCAGCCAGCAGTGGAGGAAATGGTCGAAGCTTACTTCAAGAGGGCCCGCCACAGCTTCCGGAAGGGAGAGGCCGTGGAAGGAGCCGAAACTCTCACGGACGCCGTCAGAGCGACCCTGGGATATATCGCTGCAACCCGCAACTGGCCCCACAGCACCCGCGGTAACCTCTACAGCATCGCCGCAGCCTGGGAAGCGGAGCGATGGCCGAGAACCTGGACGAATTTGACAAGGCCTGGATAACGGCTCCAAGAGGGCGACCACTTGGGCTCCGCGCTGGGCGCCAGCACGGGACTGCCAAGGAGCATCAGGTTCGGAACCTACGCTGACGCTCCGGAAGACGCAGAAGAGAAAACGGCTTCAGCTTCGCCACGACCGTCATAGAACTCGCCACCAGCATGGCCGTGCAGGCGGCCCCATGAACCAGGAAGAACACCTCAGCATGGCCCGCGAATTCATTAGGCAGGCCGACGAAGAATCAGCAGCAGACGGCGGCAATCATCTGATTGCCGCCGAGTTATTGTGGGGAGCTTTCGCCCACTGCCTGATCACCGTTGCCCAGAACAACGGCCTGCCCCATGACAGTCACGGAGCATTCCGGACAATCGCCCAGCACCTGGACACAGCCCAAGACAGCAACGAGTGGCGTTCTCGCTTCGGTTCAGCGGAAGAACTCCATTACTACTTCTACCACGACGACGTGCCAGACGAAGAAATGCGAACCCACAGACGCAAGACTCGACAAGGCACCCTGGAACTCCTCGCAGAACTGTGAGCAGAGGCCCGAGGAGCTAACAGCGTGGCTGCAACCCGCTGCAAAGGACCAACGGAGCAACGAAACCTTCGACAATTCCAAACAAGCCTGCACAATAACTCGGGAATAAAAATCATTTTTTGTGCAAAGCAGTGCGTTTGTGCAAAGCAGTGCGGTAGGATGGCGCGCAGACCACCGGATCCCTGATTACTTCAGCGAAGAGGAAGCGGCTGCTGGTCGTGTAAGCGGCGGAGGTAAATTGTCCCGTGCGGGCGGGTAATCTCTGACAAACGGCGGTTGCAAATTGGACCGTCCGCCGCCATCCATAGGCTTCAAGTCGAGCTTATGGATGGTGCGATGGATGTACAGCGTGGACGTATATCTGCGGGTTCGCCGGGCGGTGATGGTGGAGGGCAAGAGCATTCGGGAGGTCTCCAGAGAGTATGGCCTGCACCGGGACACGGTGCGCAAGATGCTGGCCTACTCGGTCCCGCCGGGCTATCGCCGGCAGACTCCGCCAAAGATGGGCCCAAGCTGGAGCCCTACACCGGCGTCATCGACCGGATCCTGGAGGATGACCTCGCGCGCCCCAGGAAGCAGCGGCACACCGCCAAGCGCATATTCGAGCGGCTCAGGGACGAGTACGGGTTCGACGGCGGATACACCACGGTCAAGGACTACGTCAGAGAGAATCGCCGCCAGACCAGGGAGATGTTCGTGCCCCTGTCCCATCCGCCGGGCCACGCCCAGTGCGACTTCGGCGAGGCTCTGGTGGTCATCGGCGGGGTGGAGCGTAAGGCCCACTGCTTCGTCATCGACCTGCCCCACAGCGACGGCTGCTTCGTGAAGGCCTACCCGGCTGAGACCACCGAGGCGTTCCTGGACGGGCACGTATCGGCGTTTGCCTTTCTGGGCGGAGTGCCCCAGAGCATCCTCTACGACAATACCAGGCTGGCTGTTGCCCGGATCCTGGGCGACGGCCGGCGTCAACGCACCCGCGCTTTCACCGAGCTCCAGTCCCACTACCTGTTCGAGGACCGGTTCGGGCGTCCCGGCAAGGGCAATGACAAGGGCAAGGTGGAGGGCCTGGTGGGGTACTCGCGCCGCAACTTCCTGGTGCCGGTGCCGTCTTTCGAGAGCTTCGATGCGCTCAATGCCTACTTGGAACAACGATGCCTGGAGCGGATGGACGCCCAGCTCAGGGGACACACGGAGACCATCGGCCAGCGGATGGAGCGGGACCTGGACGCCCTGTTGCCCCTGCCTCCGGTGGCATACGACGCCTGCGACAAGCAGGCAAGCCGGGTGAGTTCGCTGTCGCTGGTCAGGTACAGGACCAACGACTACTCGGTGCCGGTGGCCTACGGATACCGGGACGTCCTGGTACGGGGCTACGTCGACGCAGTGGTGATCAGCTGCGGAACCGAGGTCATCGCCAGACACCCACGCTCCTACGAACGCGACGACTTCGTCTATGACCCCATCCACTACCTGCCGCTGTTGGAGCGTAAGCCGGGAGCTCTGGACCAGGCCGCGCCGCTGCAGGGCTGGGAACTCCCCGAGGAGTTCGGGACGCTGCGGCGTCTGCTGGAGTCCCGAATGGGACGGCGGGGCAAACGGGAGTACGTGCAGGTGCTAAGGCTGCTGGAGACCTTCTCCCAGCAGGAGGTGCACGCAGCGGTAAAAGATGCCATCCACCTGGGAGCCATCAGCTTTGACGCAGTGAAGCACCTGGTGCTGTGCCGGATGGAGGGACGGCCGCCCAGGCTGGACCTGGAGCTGTATCCCTACCTGCCCCGGGTCAGGGTCAGCACCACCTCCACACAAGACTACATGACCTTGCTGCCGGGGAGGGCGGCATGAACGACCGGTCGACGCTGCTATTGGAACACCACCTGAAGGAGCTGAAGCTGCCCAGCTTTCTCAGGGAATACAGTAAGATGGCAGCCCAGTGCGCCGCCGAGAATGTGGATCATCCCCAGTACCTGCTCAGGCTCGCGGAACTGGAGCTCATCGACCGCCACCAGCGCATGGTGGAGCGGCGGATCCGCGCCGCCCGATTCCCCGCGGTCAAGAGTCTGGACACCCTTCGACTTCCCAGCCATCCCGTCGCTGAACAAGGCCCTGGTGATGGAACTGGCACGCTGTGAATACATCCAGCGCCGGGAGAACGTTATCGCCGTTGGCAACAGCGGCACCGGCAAGACCCACGTGGCCCTGGGGCTGGGACTGGCCGCCTGCCAGCGGGGCATGTCCGTGGGTTTCACCACCGCAGCAGCACTGGTCCACGAGATGATGGAGGCCAGGGACGAAAGGCGCCTGCTGAACTTGCAGAAACAACTGGCCCGGCTCAACCTGCTGATCATCGACGAGCTGGGCTTCGTCCCCCTTTCCAGAACCGGCGCGGAACTGCTCTTCGAGGTCTTCAGCCAGCGCTACGAGCGGGGATCCACAATGGTGACCACCAACTTGCCATTCGACGAGTGGACCGAGGTCTTCGGCTCGGAACGCCTCACCGGAGCGCTGCTGGACAGGCTCACCCACCACGTCCACATCCTGGAGATGAACGGCGAGAGCTACCGGCTCAAGCGCAGCCGGGAAACCGCCGCCTCCCAAGCTTCAGAAGAAACCGATGACGTCTAGCTCACCCTGACGCTGTCTCCTCCTGCTCCTTCAACGTCTCCACCCTGACTGATTCACTGCCGTCAGTCATCACGTCAGTGGTACA